CATTCCTGGCATGTGGCATAGCAGAAGATGTTAAACTGCTCTCAGTTTCCATTTGATCATATGCTGCAGAGTTAGAGTCCAAGATTTAAACTGTGTTAAGCAGATACAATTTAATTTTTTAACAACACATGAGAAATGTCATAAAGCAGATGTTTAATGCATGTTTCCCATTAAACACTGGTAAATTAGCCAAACAGAAAGTCCTACAGAAAAGATGCTGAATCAAAGCACCAAGAAGAGTGTTGGGGAAAGGAAATTGTGAAGAATACAATAATGTGTTCTTAAAAAGTAAGACATGCCCCATCGAGATTTAAAAATCTTGGGCTTCAAATCCTTCACCTTTTGTGCAACAAGCCAGCTGTTTTCAGCTGATTCCAGTGGTCGTGTTACTTGTGTGAGGACTATCATATTTTTGTGATGTTGAAGATGGCTGTTTTCTGGACTATAATCAGGTTCTGATAAACCTTGCCTCTATCTGTGTTTCAGTGGATTATCTATGATGCCTATGTGGAGGAGATTCAAAAACAGGAAATGTCAAAAGAGAAAGAAAAAACAAAAGCTCCGATAGCAAAAAGAGAAGCGGTGAAGAAGAAGGGAAGAAAGCCAACCTCTCTGGAATCACAGGTACATTTCCTAATGCCGGAGAAAGCCAGAGTGGTGGCAGATGCACCTATAACACAAGTCAGGTGAAATTTAGCAAGTCCTGCTGGCTGTGTAGCTAGTTGTCTCAACTGGCAAGTAACAACTCTAAGAAATGCAAAAATTAGTTTTTGCTATGAACTGTATTTCCAAAACAGGATTTCCATTTTGCTGTACTTTTAATGGGAATACAAAACAGTGTGAAGCCATAATCTTGTCTTGAAACTTGACTTACAAGTGAGATTTATGTCTTTCTTTTTTGTTCATTATCATGTTTTTGTCTCACTTTTGATTAGCATATGGAGGATAAAAGAAAGAAAGAAGTAGAAACACTGTGTGAATTTTCAAGGAATTCTAAGTGAAGCAGAAGTTTTAGGTACAATTTTCCAATATGGAGGGCAAATATATTTAGGATCCTTTCAAAATGTTGCTAAAGCACTGTTTTTTATTATTTTAATGCTAATGTTATAAAATTATAATTTATGTATTTTCTAGTTAAATACATATAAATGATATATAATATATAAATTTTATAAAAGCAATAATACTTAGTTGAAATCGAAGCTGATGTACTTAAAATTGAATACTGATTCTGGGAGGCTCAACCTAATTTGTGGTGGGATCTTGATGCATCATTTATTCATTGAGTTGAGAAGTGACAGTAATGTCTCCTTCCAGTGTTTGAAGTGCTATGCCGTGGTCAGAAATTGCACAGCATGGTGGTACCTCATGGTAATATGATTATCCCAAGAGGAGGTCAGCCACTCTGAGTCCTATAGAGTAGCAGAGTGAATGGCAAGGGCTGCTGAACTGGAGCAGCCTTCGTTAGTCTGACCTCTTGAAGTAGCAGGTACCATAACTCCTGCCAAGCTCCAAGCTGGTGGTGTGATTCTTGCTGTGAGGGTGATACTGACTCCTAATCTAGGCTGCTCTGTCAGTCCATTCCCCTAAAGTGACAATATTCCCATCTTAAAAATGTGATCCCACTTATAGCACTGATAATATGATACGGCAACTCTGAAAGATTTTCTTCATGTTCCAGAATGTTTGCAGGGAGGTCAGGAAGTTTCTATTAGTATTTAATGGAGTCTGATCTATACAGAATTGTGGATGGTTCTTTTCCCACCCCAGTCTAAGTTAAACCATTTAGAAGGCAAACTTAAATAATCTCTATAATGACTGGAACAAAATGCACTGAGAACTATAATACAGAAACATGAAAGTAAATTCTTAGCTTGCCACTAGAATAGGTATAGCTATGTCGACATAACTAAGATATATCTATGTAATAGAAGCTGGATCCTGTAACTGGTTTTATCATTTTCATACCATATGGCTGATTCAACTGTAGAGGTTTTGGCTGGTTTAGCTACCCCAGCAGCACTGTACCATCAAAAGCTTATAGTATAAAAGACCAGGAACATCTTCTGACAGGCTTCTTCCTGTGAATTGTGCCACTGAAATTCACAGCCCTTTCAAAAAACTAATAAACCTTTCACCTGAGTATGTTTTGGAGAATTGACCTGAAATCAATGGTACAATTATGGGCTTAAATGGTAGACTGCTGAAATATGAAGAAAATGAAATAAAAATTCTACCAATGAAAACATATTGTAAAAAACCTGCTGCATGCTCCACTGACGACAATGGGAAGTTGGACTCCAGACACCCATGATCCCTCCCTTTGGTGCTTTGCTTATTACTCTTAGCACATTCCAAGGAGCTTGCAAGGAAGCCAGAAAGTCAATAAACTGAAAATGTGAAAGAGAAAGTTTCTTTATGCAGAGCCAGAGTCCTAGCTACCTTCTGCAAGGCTGGTGGACCAGCTTGAAGTACATGGAAAACCTGCTGAATTTTCCAGTCATTGACTGGAATAATGAAACCTGAAGTAATCCAAGACTAAAGTCAAGCTTAGAACAGGCATTGTCTCTGGTCATGTGCAGGTCTATGGAAATTAAAGATTGATGGTGTCAGAGCTTGCACTCCTGGTCTCAAGTCAGTAAATGGAAAAGTGGGTTTTGTGGTGCTTCCAGCTCACAGGTTACATACTTTAGACCATACATGGTAATTGAAACAGAGCTTTTCCAGCTAAACACTTTCTGAGGACATACTGCCTTTGTTCATTGCTGAAGGGAACCTGTGGAACATCAAGCAGGAGATGTGGCTGATTTGAATCAAGCATGCAATGGCTAGAAGCAGCAATTGATTTCCACCATTGTTTCCATCAGGCTAGGTACTAGGAAGAAAAAGACTGTGATAGCTACTGAGATAGCACTGAATTCAACCCAAAAGGAATAAGAGGAGAAAATTAGTGGTTATTATGAGTGGTGGATCTCTGGTGGAAGCTCTTGCAATGGTAGAAGCCCATGAAAGAGAAGTTCCAGGAACTAGAACTGCAGCTGGAGATGATGGTAGGGTGAGATGAGGATTTGAAAACATAATGGATGAAGAGAAAGGGAAAACAGTACTAGTACTGAATAAGAAGTCAAGAGAAGAGATGACTAGGAGAAGAATAACTTGACCATGGAAGAATGTGGCCAAAGGCAGAGAGAAGAGGGAGAGAAGGGAAGGGACCTTGACAGAGGAGTAGAAGCTTCTCACTAGGGGAATAGAAGTAGAATGAAGCCATGCGCTGCACTGAAGAATGAGAAGAAGAAAAGAAGACGTGGTTTGGTAAAGTAGAAGAGAGAGGCAGCCAAGAGAAAAAGGAATGGAGATAACTGGGGATTCTAGCAGAAGGAAGGATAAGGATGATATAAAGAAGAATAGAAGTGAATAAAAGTCGGAATGGCAGATTTGACTGGGGACTGTGATGAGGCACTCTTGAAAATCTCTCAATGTGTCCTTCACGCAAATGGATCTATAGACAAGAGAATGTGCTACGTCCAAGAGCAGTGATACATTTGAAACTTTTCCTCAGTTTTCAATAAAACCAGCAAACAGAACATGGAGAACACAGAATACCACAAAGTAATGATATGAAATTTTCTGAGCTGAAAATATTTGGAAGCAGAGAGAACTAGGCATAAGTGTTGTATCCGCTTGTCCTGCTCTTACTGTTCCTGAGCCATCTGCTTATGACTCTGATTACAGAGTGGATCCTGGCCCAGAGATACTCTTGGTCTGATCCAGTACGACCCTCCTCCTGTTGTTGAGCAAGTGTAGAAATGACAGTATCTGAGGCAGAAGCAAAACGCAAAGAGCTTAATGCAATTAAGTTGATGCAGGCTAGCTCCTATCACTCTGAGATGAAGAGGTATGAAATCACAAGTCTGATAGTAAGGATTTTAGTGAATCTATCTAAAAAGTGGTTGAGCTATATAACTGAAGAATAATAAGGATATATTATATGTAAAAGGAGTAAAAATGGTTCAATTAGTCTGATCTTTAACAGTATATGAGGCAATAGAATTATTATGGAGGGAAAGAATAGAGAATTCGGAGTAAATATGAAATGGAATAGAATAGCATGTGTTTACCAAAGGTAGGTTGTGTCCAAATACTCTCATATCTTTCTTTTATGAGAGAAAAGTTGTTGTTTCCCTTAACAAGGGGAGTATATTAAGCGCAATCTAGCTGAAATTCTGTTAAGCTATTGCTCTACTGCCTCTAGGAAATGATTATGTAAACCAGAAAAGTTGTTACTAGTACAGATTGGAAGGGACTGGTGGAGAGGAAGGCTGTACATGTTGGAACGTCAAGGCAATCTTTGGTAAGGTGAGGTCTTACAGTTTGAAATGACAGAGAGAAACATGAGTGTGTCAGTTGGTGAGTTGTGGTGTGGCTATGAGAAGACATTGCTGGAATATATTGTGTGAGGAACAGCAGAGTAATACTATTTCTGTTATGTAAGGGAGGGTGATACCTTATCTGGAGTAGTACAGGGATATATGATTTTGATAATTTCTAAGATGATAGATTACCAACCTGCACAGATATAGAAAAGAACATACGAAATGGAAAGCTTGAAAACAAAAGTCTAAAAAATTCTTAGCATATTTATCTGGTAACACAAAGGTCTAGAGGGAATCTGAAGTAGATAAAAGAGAGAGAGAGAATTAATAGGGCAGAGGATAATGTCGACAGAAATACAGATGGATGTGAACCTGTTAGGAATATATTAAAGCTGGAACTTACTGCACTGGAACAGTCTCTAGTATCCTTTGAACCAGAAGTGGTTGAACAGTTTCTTAAAAAGTCCGTACAAAAATTACATTTAACAGAGAAATGTGAATTCCTGAATCATGCAAGGTCCTGGCTGACTTGTCTATCTCACTATAGCATTGCCCCTTTCTGAGATACGCCTGATGAGACAGCCCCGCCCACAGGGTCATAATTATAATTTGGAAGCTCTTGGATGACTAGAGTTATTTTTTTAAATAACAGCTGAAATCCAAATGCAATTAACTTTCACATTATTGTTCACCCAGGAGTGGACGAGTTGTTACTGACTCCCTTGTCTTCAATCTGCTGTTTACAGAGTATCAGAATTAAAGCCAAACAGTGAAAATGAACAGTTGAGTACCATTCTGGAAAATAATAACTACATGACAGGATTCAATCTGGGGGACTTTATTTAGGATTTGCAGTGAGTGTATGCAATGCTGGGTAAGAGGTGACAACACCCCTGTGCCATGCTTTTTTCTTTGCAAGCCAGGAGCTTTTCTGGTATTGCAAGTACATGTATTGCAGTAGAGTATGAGCAGTTACTGCACTAGTTTTAGGATGGGGTTTGTCTTCTGGATATGCAGTTATATGCCAGCAGAAGCCTTTTTTAATTCTTCAGTTTACTGGAGTTGCACATTGCAACTGGCCAGCTGCTGAGAGGCAAATATGAAGCAATTAGCGTTAATGAAAAGTAGAGCAAGACTAAAACATTTATTTTCAAAGTATTAGCCAATTATCCACCTGACGTACGATTCCATTAGGATTATGGATGTTCTAAAAATAATTTATGCACAGAAATAAATGAAATTAATTTGTTAGCTGATGAGCTCTCATTACATTTGTCTAGCTAGCCCAGAGTTGGCCTATAACAAAAAGATGAGTTTCCAACAGATCTTAAATAAAAGGATAAGTTAAGTCTATCAATTCCACTAAAGAATTATTTCAGTAACATACAGAATAAAATAGGACAGGATCCCATGAGAAAATAACATACTCTGATACAGCTTAATGCCAAAAATGTAGTTATTCATGGCTGCATTGCTAACAGCACAGCTACCTAACAGGAAAGATGACTTAAAGTTCTTTTGATTCATCTGGGGAGTTTCCTGCATTGCAGGAAAAATTCCATCGAATTATACATTGTTTCTGTATTTACAGGTTGGGGTTTGTTGTTGTTGTTGTTTAAAGCCTGCTTTCCACTGACAAAAAAAAATTATAGATGAGGCATTCATCTTCGAGAACACTTAAAATAAGCCTTGTCTTCTGATCTTCAGTCCAGAATGAAGTCTCAGGTTGGAAATCAGAATGCTTGCAGTGCAAGTTTCCTTGAATGTGTGAAAGAACAAGAGCCATGATCCTGCTCATGTCTGTAGGGTACAGCACTACCATTCTTCCCCAGCTCTTTGCAGTATCAGGTGCATGTTAAAATGGAAGGAAGTTCTTGCCTGCACAGTAGGTGAATGGAAGACAGCCGAGCTAACGCACATGATGAACCAGCAGGACTCCAGGGGATCCATTCTTTTTACATCGTGACTATGACTTTTACAATACTGGAGGAAAAAGAAGTTATTATTGTGCTTCTCTTTTTCTAAATCAGATTGTAATCTTTTCAGCATTTAACCTCTATCAGTTAAGCTTACTCAGAGCAATATGCTGGTGGCAGACAATAACATTTTTATAGTCATGATCCCCGTATTCCTGGAGAAGTGTCAGCAAAGGTGAATTGTTTTATTTTTTAGGAAGTGTTTTAGAGAAAGACAGGTTTTATTGTGGCAGAAGCAATAATGGCAACTTAAAGTCAAAAGAGGAGAAATCCTAGCAATTGAGAGTGTTAATTTCTACTTGAAATGTTTCAAGCATCCTCTTTCTCTCACTCTTTAATTTCTTATAATATGTATAAATTCCTAATGTCTAGGGAATATCATACGGTGTTAAATTTGAAAACAACTTTTCCTGCACTTTCTTAAATTCTGAACATGACAGTAAGTTCTCTGTGCTGTTCTCAAGGAGTCCTCCCACAGACCCAGGGAGAACCTGAAGAACATGAGAGTGGCCACAGTGATTCAGATCAAGGCTCTAACCACAAATGAATGTGTAAGGAAGAGTAAGAACACAGCACGAGTATATCCCAGTCCCAAATATTTTTCCAGCATTCAACTATTTTCAGCTATTTCCTAAGCTTGATGTGCTTTACTACATAGATGGAAGTACTTGTTCAGTCTTCCTTGTCACCGTGTAAAATTCTTGCATCTACAACACCCTTTGACAAGGAGTTGCACAGATGTGCCGTCCTTCTGTAAGAGACACCTCCTTTTGTTTATTTTGAACTTGACTTCCACTAGCTTCACTTGAAACCTTTACTTTTTGTATCAGCAAAGACAGTGAAGAGTCAGTCCCTGTCTGTACTTTTTGGGCCATTTAGGATTTCACAGACTTGTCTCATGTCTTACCAAGCCTTCTCTTGTCCAGACTGGCAAGTCCCAGCCTACTCAGTTTTTCCTGGTACAGAAATAATTCCAGACTTGGGCCATCCTTGTTGCCCTTCTCTAAACTTCGTTCCATGTTTTACTTTGATCTTTCTGAGATGGGAGAAGACAATAGCACACGTTAATGTGTCGGCCAACTATGGATTTATAAAAAGTGTGGCAGATTATAGAATAATTTTTCGTTTTTGTTTTTTTTTTTTCTCCTTTGTCCTGTCGTCTTTATGTAGTCCTTTGGGTTTCATGCTCTTTGAAGCAACGCTTGCAGTCTCCCTTGAGTTTGCGCAGGGCCCGAGAAAGAAGCAGAGGACTGGAACGCGCATAATCTGAAATCAAGTTCTTGGTTCTGACTGTGACTCTGCAGTGTAGTTTTGGCAAGTCATTTCAGTTTTTCTTTTCATGTTCAGGGCACTCTCTGAGCTGTGCCAAGTATGACAAGTTTCTTTTCAGTGTCGTCACTATGGAGGAAATCACACTGTGCTGGCAGCCATCAGTCCCTAGCTGGGGTTTGAAGATGAAAGTCTTTGAAACACTGGCGTGGCTTTGAGATAGTGATAGTGGGTGACAATATAGGTCCTTGGAGGAGCATGCTGTCAGAGCAGTTTGCATTCTCACATCATTGTGCAGAGTTGTGCTGGCTTCATCCTCATGGCCCAGCACAGTCTGGGGGCTTTCAAGCTCTGTCCTTCCAGTGGCTTACCCCAAGCTTATTGTCCTACTTGTCGGTTAAGCTAGTTTGGATTTTGCTAATGCTTGCACAGAAATATGCAGTGTATAGAGAGCACACTCAGAGAAAAAATAATTAATAATAGAGTTTAGTAAGAAAATTATTCTAAGGCTGTGGGGATCAGGCATAAGGCTCTGTCAGACAAGCATACCAATCAGCCACCTGCTGACAGTCAAACCGCCCCTGTTACGCTCTCTTTTCTCCATTTGTCCTTGCTGCTTCTTCCCCCATCCACTCAAATTGTTTCCTTCCTTCACCTTTGTCTCCTTCCATATCAACAACCTGCCCCTAATTACTTTTTTCCCATTGGTCAAATTTTTCTATGTCCATACCCAAGTTTGCTATTTCTGGCATAGTTTCCTAAGCAATCTTAGTCCTACATGGTATTACTGATACAGTTAGCTAGGGACTGCTGGCCTTGCAAGATGCCACTCCCCCAAAAGCTTCCAGTACTTGCATACCTGAAGGTATATCTGCACACCTTCACATACACAGGCTTGGCCACTTTTGGTGTTCCCTGACTGGGAGGATGGGATTTTCCACAGTATCAAAACAGTTTTCACAAGAGATGAAGAACAAACTGTCTTTTGAGTGTTGGGTATATATTGTATCAGCTAATGGATCTATGAATACATCAAATTGGAATTACACAGTGATTGACTGAAGGGTTTTTCTAAATCCTGTGATCTTTACTTAACACATGAGACCTTAAAGCTCTCCAAGTAGAGAGAAAGGATGCTCATGCATGATCAAGCACCTGTGATTTTGTTACTGAAGCTAATGAACTATTATCAAGTGAGATGAAGGAGGGATTATGTGTGTGCTTTTAGCTCATCCCATCATGTGGTAGCTTGAATGAGTTGAAGTCAAGACTCTAACTGCCTTCACAGATAAGTACCTTCCAATTGAGCTAAATCAGGAACAAACACTGAAGTTACTGCTGTGGTTGGCATCTTGCTAAACTTACAATAAAGTAACTGCGTTAATTCAAGTGCCCTTACCATTAGGTGCTGTTGTGAGTAGGTTCACATTATCCTGTATTCAGGATCAATGGAGTCACATTTTTCATTCACACAAAGCCTGAAGGACTTGCAAACAGATAGGAAATACATTTTTTATTCCTTGTTTTTCTTTTCAACAGAGTGATGATATAACCAAGATCTCAAAGGCTGCTAAAATAATTGAGCGGATGGTGAATCAGAACACATTTGATGACATTGCACAAGGTATGGCCCTGCTGGGAGATGCTGCTAATTCAAGACAGAACTCCTGCAGATGAGTGGCCACAGCTGTAGCAAGGGCAGAACAGCATACCATAGCATAGACTAGATTAGACTAGACTAGACTAGACTGGACTAGAATAGACAGAGCTAAAATGAGCAGGGCTAGAATTTATACAAGGCAAACAGTACAGCAGGCTGTGGACATTCAAAGGGCATGCCACATCAGACCTGCTCTGATCGGGTGAGACCAAAAGGTCTGGTCAGCATTGCCCTGCTTCCCTCCCTCAGCAGGTACTTCCCTCCTGGATGCAGATTATGGTGACAGCAGCCAGTGCCGAGCATTGCTCCGCTGGCATACAAGTCCCTGCCACAGTGATGTAGTCAGTCTTCATGTTATTTTGCAAAGGTTTTGATATGTCTGCTCAGCTCTCTCCTGAAAGGCCCCATATAGCTCTAGGAACAACCTGAGGTCACTCTTCACTCAGGTCTTCTGCTTTCTTGTTTATCCTTTGTCTGCATTTAGATCATCAGGGTGGGTTTTTTTGTTTTGGTTTTTTTTTGATTTTTTTTTGTGTGAGGACTTAGTGTTTGGTAAAATGCATTTACAGGACTTAGCTGCTGTTGGAGTTGATTGGAGTTCAAGCTTATAGACTGAGACAGTTTTTATAGTAACAACTGGGTTGTGCAAAGGCTGTGAGAATAATAGTGTGTTTTTTAAAGCTTCCCTGGCACTGCACCATGCTGATTTATTTCCTGTTTATTCATCGGGACCTTTTCCTTGACTTTTTTTGTTTTAGATTTTAAATATTTTGAGGATGCCTCGGATGAATACAGAGGCCAACAAGGAACCCTGCTCCCACTCTGGAAGTTCCAGTATGATAAAACCAAGAGCCTTGCAGTTACTGCCATCTCCTGGTAAGTCTCTTTATTACAAACTTACTCGGGTTCGCAGGAGCGTGAAACAGATTGCCATGTCACCTTACAAGATAGGACTGGTTTCTCTTACTTTGACTAATTAGTCAGCTGCTTTGGCAGCACCTAGACATCCCCGGTGTTTGTGGATGCAAAGCACCTTGTGTAAGGCTGAATGTGCCAGACTTGCACCATTCAGCAAAAGGTGAAGGCACAGGAGGCTCTGTGCAGCACTAGAGCAAAGTGACTGCAGTTCGCAGAGAAGAGTCCTTTCTTAGGAGAGCTGGGATAGACAGGTCATATCTTTGGATGATTTGCTGTAGGAATTAATCCTGAAAAGCCCAGGGAAGGAGAAGGGATAGTAACTGTATTTTTGACAGGTATCAGCATAGATAAAAATTGGCACAGATTAAAGCAGCAGAGAGGGAACTAACACTGCATGTCCCAGACAGGTATCACCATAGACTATAAGATGCTGAGGCACTGATACCAGACTAGACCTTTATGTATAGTATGTACTCAGTCACTGCCCAGACAACCATGGTACTCATGTACTGGGATCTCACACAGTTCAGTGTAATAGGTATTTGCCCTGCAGTCTACTTTTGTGCATTTATTCCTGGTCAATCCAAAACCAATCACTAATACTTTCAAATTGACTCTTTTTTTCTGAAGTGTTATCACCGTGGTTATTGCCATGAGAAAAACACTCATCACCAACTTGACAGAGTCCTTTTACTTTCTAACTTTTTTGATCTTCCCTGAACTATCTTGGTTCATGCACTGAGCATGAGTCACACATACAGCTCCTGCCTTGTGCTCCTTTGCAGCTAGGCCTTCTCTCACTTGTCTGTGAGGCAGTGTCAACACATCTGTGTCCTGCCAAAAAGGATCTGTGAAGAGAGAAAGCAAGATTGCTCTGTTCTTTCAAACCACTGTAGTAATTGTATTTTAATAGAATATCGAGGATGCAGGTGTAAGAATTACAAAATAACAGTAAAATGAGATGTAAATTTGGAAGAAAAGGCTTCTGTTATAGGTACTTTGTGCTGCTGTTATTCTTGTCTCCAGGAAATGACAACAGAAACATGGCCCTGATTTTGGAAGAATAACCCCAAATTGCCTCATGTAATAAGCTTTTCTAATTTAGTTTTTATTCTCGCATTGTTAGCAGTGATGATGCATTTAGTGGATAAAGTAAGAGCATTAAAATGCTTAGATATTAGCCTAAGTCAAAAAGGAGAAATGAAGTGAGAAGTTGTTTTATTTTATCAATTCAGAATAGCAAGTCAGAGTGTCTTGGTTTAGGGCTAGGCTGGTCACTAAATCCTGGACAGTGCTCTCTATTAACCCCTCTCCCCTCCACAGAAGGGAAGAGAAAAAAGAATAAGACAGAGAGACTTTACAGGTTGGAAAATAAAACTAACAGGTTTGATAAAACAACAATACTAATACTACAGGATAATAATGTAAATAGGAAAATAATGAAATATATACAGATATGTACAAATATATATACAAAACCAATGTAAAATCCTCCCCTCACCCTCCCTCAATGACGATTGCGTCACCAGAGGCTCTGTGGAGCTGGGCACTGGAAAAGTCCCAGACTGAACTTAGCAGCAGTGGGAGCAGGATGGAGAACACACAAATCAGGATCAGAGGCAGATGAACCAGCAGGGTTCTGCTTGAACTTCAGCTGTTGCAGGATTGAGATGAAAGGATGGATCCAAGATAGAAGGGCTCTGAGATGGAACGGTTGAGACCCTCATGATCCCTCAGCTTTATACTGAGTAAGACGTATGTGGGATGGAATACTTTGTTGGTCAGTTCTGGGTGCACTCCCCCACCCCGTAGGTGCAGACACGGTACTCATGGTGAGACAGTGGCCTTGAGATTATCAATTGTAGCAGCACACACTGTCTGGAAAAAACATACTGCTAGTTTCAGGAAGTTCAGCCACTTAGAAGAGACTGAGCTGAAAAGTAAAATCACTAAATAGAAAATTAGTTCTGTTTAGCTCAAACCAGGACACAGAGAAAACACTCATTAGATAATTTTCGCATACATTATTTCACAGAATTGTTACCCACTGGTTATACTGTGTGAGTCCAGGGATAGCAACAGTACTGACCTTTATCCCATGTAAACCCTACTGTAGGTAGGATAGGACAGTAACTGTCCACACAGAGAAGAAGCTGTAAAAAAGATAGATGTTTTTCAAATGAAGAGACTTTAGAAAACATAGTACATGGTTAATTGTTCATAGTCTGTATGCCTCAGAGAATATACTGCTCACCAACTGGCTCAGAAGGGAATTTCCCTTCCTGGTCTGTGGGAATGATCATGAATCTGTGAACTGATAACTGTCTCTTGAAGCATCCCTCATTATTTAATAACAGGTAAGGGAAGAAAGTTTACTGAGTATTATTCTGTTGTGGTTTAGAGACTTTATTCTCGCCCCTGAAAGATGGAAATTGGCATATTCCTGCCTTTTCCCTTTCCTCAGAGACCTTCTTTTTAAAAATAAACTTTCCATGATTATGAAATGGAGAAACCAAGAAGTGCTCGAGATTGACATCATGTCTGTCTGTGCCCTTTTAATCCTTTTCATCTACTGCTCTGGTCTTCTGATGTTCTATTTTTTTAAAGCATCCCAAGTCTGGTAGAATTACTCATACTTGAACTTTACTAGTGAGTATGTTCAAAGGGTCAAGCCCTCAGACTGTATGCAGTCCTGTGAGGATGGCCTCTGATATTAACATGTGAAACATTTTGCATTTCTGTGGAACTATATGGTTAATAATAAATGCAATCTTATATATATTTTTTCATTACAGGAATCCAAAATACAAGGACCTATTTGCAGTGGGATATGGCTCTTGTAAGTAACAATGCATATCATTGGGAGATTTAAAATATTAAACAGGTGCATTGAGATTAAATCATGTATTCCAGGGCATGGAGTCCACCTCATAGCAAGGACTGATTTAATTTTAACAGTATATTGAGATTTAACTCAAGATAGGGATTAGGCCTTTACAGTCCATTACATAATCATTCAGAAAGGCATAGACACAGGCAGTGTTAGCTGGGGCTTTTGACTTATAACAGTGCTGGCTCTCCCTTTTATCAAGGACTTGCTTCTAGAAGAACCACTTAATCCTTTTTATCTTACTTGATGGGCTCTGATTTTTCTGTTCGTGCCTTTCTAATTGCTGAAAGACCAGATATGTTTTGCCGGAAGGTAATCATGAAAGACTCCTCTAAGTGTAAACTCATTGTCTTCTTGTTAGGAGACACCTTCCAGGAATGTCTCAAAGGATAGGCTCTCCATTAGGGCACATCAGGCCCAGATATTGTGAGAAGGCATTTTCCCTGCTGTAGTGTCTGGGATTGGGCATGGGATAATTTTGAGTGGCAATGAACATAAGGTTTAGGGCTTGCTTAATTACTCCGTATTAATCTCTATCCAGTATTACTGCTTTCATGATCAGGAAATGGAAAAGTACTCTAACAAGTTGATGTTTTCTCACCTTTCTTTGTTCTTGTTTTGCTGTATGCATTATGTCTACCTGCCCTCCAGTTTGTCTTTTTTTTTCTTTTTACAACATGGGAATCCATATCAACAACCTTGTGTTTCCTCCTGTTCAGTATCTTTTGTTCTCTTGTTGCTTACAGACACACTGACTGCTTTAGTCTGAATTCTTGTCTTCAAATTTTCCCCTTTACTCCTGTGTAGATGAGATAGTAATGTCACTCTAAATAAATATTCTGTCTTCCATTCTCTTTTTTCTACGTTTTAGTTCTACCTGAAGAGCTGACTCTCATGAATAACTTCTTGGGTAGGGAACAGCATTCTGGTAGTTTCCACCTCCATGCCACTGCTTCCCAGGGAAATTCCCCAAAGGGAAGAGATCAGTCATGAGACAAGTTTTCCTGGAGTCTTTCTCACCCAGATAGTGTTGGCTCCCCAGCTTTGCAGCAGACTGCTTAGTAAATTTTCAGGTCCCCTGAAGATGCCTCTGGGACTCACCAGGGCTCTACTCTTCTCCATTGTTAGTAGCTGCTGCAGAGTCACATTGCTGGAATTCTCATGTAGTGAAGAGTGACCTCAAAGCCTCAGCTTTACATCAGATCGGTGTTGTTAAATAACAAGAGGATACAGACAAACAATCAAAATCCCAAACTATTTTAAGTCTCCACTGGCTCCTGAGCTGGTGAAGATCACAGCAGTAACCCACTTGCACATCTCCAGGGCATCTGCTCCTTGCCAAGATGTCCACCCAGATCTTACCATAAACTCTTGACACAAAGCAGAGAGGCGCTGAGAAAAGAACAGTATTGCAAAGGCAGCAGAGCCTTCTCCTTGCTGCAAGAGCACAGACCACAGAACAGTCAGACTCATGAGTAGGCACTACAATTTTTACCCTAAATAACCCAACCCTAGCAATTCTTTGTGGAGGACAGAGAGTAGGGAGAGCCAAAGAGAAGACCTTACCAGTAGCTACACTTTGGCCCAGCAGCAATTTCAGTTAATTTATATGTGCTTGCAAGTTACAAGTAGGCATTTTTGCTAGTGTTCTTTGCGATGAAAAAATTAGAATCTGTTGTGAATATTCTGAACTACCAAGGCAAGTTGTTTGGTATTTCACAGAATCACAGAACGTTAGGGATTGGAAGGGACCGCAAAAGATCATCCAGTCCAATCCCCCTGCTGGAGCAGGGGGATTGGACTAGATTTATTTATTTATTGGACTTTATTTATTTTAAAGGAAAAAATTAGAATCTGTTGTGAATATTCTGAACTACCAAGGCAAGTTGTTTGGTATTTATTTTAAAAGGAACATCTTTTTTTGAATGAATGCTGAAGGCTCTCAGCTGTGATAAAATTACTAATGAAATTAATTGTTGAGAAATACAGTGCATGTGGGATAAAAAGCTCAGCACTGATCTCCAAGGAGATTGATGTTATTCAGGAAAGTGATCTAGAAGTCATTCAAGTATGTGTTTCTTTTCAAACACTTGGTAGTGCTCAGCAGTAGTCAAAATGGCAAAACAAAAACTGACGTGAATTACTATGAAAGAAAAAGAAAACAAAACTTTTGGATGCAGTGGAAACAAAATGGGAAATGACATATAAAGCAGCAGTAGGAACAACAATAGAAAACCGAAAAGAGAACAAAACAAGATCTGTGATAAACTGCCATCTTGATTACTGTGTGCAGTTCTGGCTATGAACTCCAAAGAAGAATGTGTTAGGCTGTGGAAGGATTGGAAAATGTACAGAAAAGGGCAGCCATAATAAGCAGAAATACGTATGTCTTTTGTATCAGAAAGCATAAGCAGACTAGGAGTCTTAGAACAGACAAGGGCGATGGACTTGGTATGGGTCTGTAGAGTCCTGAATAACATGGGGAGAGTGAAAAGAAGTCAAATGTTCATTATTGCCCATAACGCAAGAATGAAGGAGACTTGATTAAATTACTGAGTAGCTGGAGTAAGAAAAATTTAAAACAGAATAGCATGATACATAATAAAATTGTTGAACTTTTCTTCCTTTGTGGTCTGGAGGACTGAGATATACATGGATTCAGGAGGTCAGATAAATTCACAGAGGGCCAGTTTGCTGTTGGAAGGGGAAACCATCTGATTCAGTAAGCTCATAACTGCAAGTTGCTGGAAGCTCTGAGGACATACAAAGGGATAGACCTATATTTGCTGAGGTTCTTAGAGTATTTAAGCAGCTTAACCCTACTGTCATGAAGTAAAAGGGAAAGGATCGAAGGGATTGAAGAAGAAGGAGGAGGAAGGGCTGAAGAGTTGAAGGGGTGCAGTTGGGCATAGTGGGGTGGTGTGTCGTAACATCTAGAGCTCATAGTCATTGTGTCTGGTGCGATCTATGGTGTAGATGCTGATCTGGAATACATAAATAGAGACATGATTTATGGCATCATATAATAACTAGCATCATACAACTCAAGTTATTGGCTAGTCTCACCCAGAATCAAATCTCCTTAAGGTACTTGGTTACAGGGATCTTTGCTGTGGTCCCAAATAATAATTTCTACGTATTTCTCTGTGTTCTGACAATGAAACCAGCTGGATTATCTTCATTTATACTAGAAAGGATTGTGTTCTGCTTGCAATATTGCAACATTTCATTTTTCTCTTAAAATGACATTTTTCTTTTGAAGTTCACTCTTGTGTGAGCGCTGGAAATGTTCCTGTTAGTTTTCCAAGAAGCCTAAATTCGCCTAACAATTTATTTAATTCAGCAGGCAGCAGCTACTCTAGAGAGCAGAATAGGATCAGCCTTTGCAGAAGAAAGTATGATGAGAAGTGCTTAGAATATTCCTCGCCTTGTACAGCACAGAAAAATCTCACTGTGCTCACAGCCTCTGTGCTCAGAGAGTGCAGGAATTGGGCAGTGCCCTCCCACTGCCCCACCACCTTGGTACAGGAGGTGAGATACACACTCAAGGATGCTAACTTTCCCCCTTAGCCTGTTTGGGTGGCAGTTCTAACTTTTAACAATTCGGAAAACCCTGATGTGTGCTTTCTGGGTTGTACAGAAGTAGTTTTTGTTCTGCCAGGGTCCACTGTGCCAAGAGCAATGCACAGATGCAGATGAAGGCAGACTCTAAGACAGTGGCTTGCCATATAAGTGGGCAAGAGATCCAGAAGACTTCTTATCCCATTTTTATAGCAGGCATAGAACACATATTTCATTTCAACAGGCTGTAGCCATCTAACAGCTAGAAGCTGAGTCTCTGCCCTAAGCTTGCTCTTTAGGTCAGCAGTGAGAGATCAGAACATCCAGAGGCCATTGATCCTGCTGTAAGCTGGATGTGTAAGAGGGCTAAGCAGCCCTCTGGAAGGGCTGTTCTCTCCCCATTGAGTGTAGAGTGAGCCTAGGCAGAGCACCTAGCCTAGGTGCCTGTCTCCTAAATGGCTAAAGTGAGGTGAGATGAATCCTGGAAGAGGAAATACTCCTGGAGGCACACAGGAGCTGTAGTAGAGGCAGGAGCAGAACCTAGATCTTTGGGTCTGTGGGGACCATAATTACATCACCAGTCTTTTGTGCCACATGCATTTGGGAGCACTGCCAAGATACAAGTAACACATTTGTCCTACTGCCCAAAGTACACTTTTTGAAACAAACGGTCCCTTGTTTACTGTGTTTCCATTTCACTCCAGTGTTGTGAGTTTTCTACAAAAAGGGCCCTAGCCTCTCCCTCGCTTCTAAATCCTATTTCTGGAGTTTTCACCACTGATTTATTTGGATGGGGTTTCTGATGCTAATGGCATTTCTTTGGCATGAGACGGTCTCTTCTGAACAAGGAAATACTGTCATCGTCATTTGCAATTCAGGATCTATGCTGCTTGGCTGGAATTAATTTTTATTCCCATCAGGAGGAGCTCTCTTTCTGTTTTTGTTTTTGCATAAATGAGATTGCTGGGTTTCTGGCTAGACTGAGAGCCTGCAGTGCAGGGCTCAAAGAAGCTGCAATGGGTATTGGTCTTGTGTTCTGCCTTGCTGGTGGGACCACTACAAATACAAGCTCAGGTCTTCGCAATCACATCAGTTCATGTTCCAGAAGCAAGTGTGCCTCTGACAGCCTTCAGAGATGGCTTTTTATGTGCAGCTCCATCTGTCAGCACATGAGTTGAATAGGGAAAAACAGTACCTGTATGGCTGGTGTATTTTATCGTACTGTTTCAATGCACGTAGTAGATGTAACTTGCCAGTCATAAGGATGCTTGAGAGGTACAGACTCGCAGCCAAAGCACTGGCAGTCTGAGCTCTCTGGCAAAGGTATCTACTCAGCCCTTTACAGTTCTTGATCTGAAATGGGACCTCACATAAACAGAAGTAGACAA